TCATCCTAAGATTGATTGAGCCGTACAGTTTCGCCGACTGCTTGGAATAAGCCAGGACCTTTCTGCTGTACATCTCGCCTTTCCACATGGAGATGATGAGCAGCGTGGAAAGGACGGCGCCCCCCAGCGTGAGGAGGCAGAGCCCCGCGATCACGCACCGGTCCAGGTGCGCCCCGACCCGGGCGCTCTCCCTCTCCAGCCGCTCCATCTCCCGGGCGGACACACTGTCCGGGTTCGCCTTCACTTCGCGGGGGACGGCGTAGGAGATGGCGACGAGCGACATGCCGGTCACCAGGAAAGTCACGGCGCTGATGAGCCCGTAGTCCACTTTGCCCGGACTCTCGGAGAGATCGTCGTCGGATATCAGCGACAGATCCTGAAAGGGCTCCGGAAGGCCGTCGCCGTGCCGTCTCTTCCCGGAGGGTTGCGGACTGGCCCGCTGCAGGTTGACATTTTCGTCCACGTACGCGAAAGAAGTCTCCAGCTCCTGGTCGCAGCACAGGCGGATGTCCTTCTCCGACGGCCGCTGGCTGCGCACGCCGCCCCCGTCCCGGGGAGCCGTCCTTGGTGCTGAATCACATTGTCCTTCCCAGACGGCTGTTCTTTCACACGGATTGACCAGATGCTGCTTCGTAGTCGCCTCCCTGGCGGAAATGCTTGATTGATGGCAATGGGAACCTAAAGCCCGGTCGAGACCGGCTTCCCTGCCGTCTTTGCCGATGTACAGAAGTTCCAGTGCGGCCATCTAAGTCTTTGCTTTCTTGCCCCACTTCTGTATCAGGACATTGCTAGTCTCCCTAAGAAACAAACACATGCAATCTCAAAATGCAGCCTCACACTGACTGATAGTCTATGCCCACTACAATGGCACGGCTAACGTGCTTCAATCTTTATTATTATTGTTTTTAATTTCTTTTGGGTCCAGAATTGCTTTGTCAAGTTCACACAATTTAATTTGCTAATTTAATTAAGTTCATTATACCTTGGGAAACGAAAACCCTCTTTACCCATTGAAAGAGATTAACAACGACGGATTGTCCCGCTGCATCAGCACTCGTTCATTTCGTAGTATTTTCTTAAGTGGCCCGTTAGATCGCACTTACACGTTGTGTATTGCTAAAAAGAACGCTTGAAAAACACATGCCGAATTCACTATTTTTATAAGACTGGCAATTTCCTTTTGAAAATGTTTATCTAAAGCATCGATACCACGACAGCCCCAGGGCACAAAAACTGCGACTCCGGTACCATTTCCGTATAAAGATACCGGTTCCAAATAACGCCTTCAGTGATCGCTTCTTTTAAAGCTCAAATGCTGCATAATAAATGGAAACGAAGCTTACAGAAGAGACCCTACTTAAATCTCAACGCGCTTTTCATTAGCAAGCATTAAAACAAAATGAAAACTACATTTAAAGCACAACACCAACTCATCCGTGAGTAAGAAGCATGATGAAATCATAAAATGATTCTGTAAAGTTAAAAAAAAAAAAAAGAAGCAGTTTAAATACCCTCTCGGTGCCTCCCCCGTCAGCACTGGCCGTCGCTCCCCCTTTAGGTACTGAGAAGGATGCTTTAGTCCCATCTGAGCCCGGTCGGGACAGCCTCCCTGGCTGAGAGCGGAACCACAGACAGCGGCTCAGGCGGAATCCTGGGAAATGTAGTCTGCTGACCAGACCTGCTGATCTCCAGGGCACGAGTCCTTTAATGTTATCTGTAGTTTCATGCCTGTAGCCTGTGTTTACGTTTAAGTACGTACTCCTAAAGTTTAATAATATATGGTTTCCATTTTGTTATAAGAATTTGCCGTGCTGTATTTCCTTTCCTTATTTCCTCTGGTATTACATACTTGTCTCACTAAACGGTTTCAGATCTCTAGGCAAAACGTCATATTTAATAGAGGGATTAGAGGGAACTTGAGTAGACACATAAGACGTCAAAAATAACATTTCATTTATTTAAGGGAAAATGTTATTTAACAACCATTTTACTCATGTGGAAAATTAATCGCTGTCTGACCCGGCACTGTCCCTGCGGTGTGTTGGCAACTGCCCAGGGTTGGTTCCCGACTGCGCCCGGTGTTACTGGGATAGGCTCCGGTCCCCCCCGCGACCCCAGTCGGGATTAAGCAGTTTCAGAAAATGGATGGATGGATGGAAGGATGGATGGACCAGGCTCTGTGTTGTTTTGGACAAAAGCATCTGCTAAATAAATAAATGTAAATGTAATTGCCTCCTAGATACTCAATGAACCAATTAACAAAATTTAATTGATATTTAGATCCAGCTGATAAAGCACAGCCTGACTGAATCTAGGCCTCATGCATATTTGAGCTTTGTCATTAGAGTGAAACAGTTACCATGAAGTTTCTACAAGCTCATTGTACCATGATCAAAGGAAATCCCAGAAGAGATTATATTAGAAGTTGTTGAAATATATCAGTGTGGAAAGAGTTCCAAAGCAATATCTAATGCTCTGGGATGCCATCCAGCTGCAGCGCGGGCCATTATCTCCAAATGGAGATGGCTTAGAACAGCAATTCATCTTCCCAGGAGTGGCTGGCCTGCCAAAATCTCTCCAAGGGCACTGTGATAGCATACGAAGGAAGTCACCAAAGATTGCAGAAGAACATCCATCTAACCCAGCCAGATGGGGTTCATGGGGGGACAGTAAGGTGGCTATACTATCACTAAATAAGTGAAACTTCAATGCTCATCTCACATTTACCAAAACGGTTGAAGGGGCACAAATAATATAGTATTATGCTATTACTTATGTAGTAATTAACCACAAAAGTCCAGACCAAAAAATGTCTTATTACTGTAAAACCGAATAATGACCTGGATATAATTTTCCTAACGTAAAGTGATCCTAACGTAAAAATGTAATTTCAAGTTCATTCATTTTAACTAAGTGATCATAACTTTTGAGGTGAAAATATCTGGTTACTCAACATAATGAGCTGACATTGCATGAAATCACACATCTCCCTTAAAATGGCTTATTTTAGGATCGCATACTATAGGTGGCAGTACACATTATGTTTGTTCTGAACCAAACTATTTTTTATAATGTAGGCAGGTTGTCAGGGTATTTTTTTGTATTTGAATTTTACTTTTTTCACCCCAAAAAAAATGACAGCAAGTATTATGAAATTGCCATGTTCTGTAATATACGTTTCAAGTAAATGAATGATGTTGTCTTATGTATTAATATCTAGAAATATTTAGTAGGTCTGAATAACCTTAATTAATGCAGCCAATAAGAATTATCTAGAATGTCAGTGAAGAGTACATCACTCAGTAAGCCCCGCCCACGCCCGTGTTTTTTCTCTTTTATTTTTGAACCACTCCACTTGCCAAGATCTTTTTTTTCCACAGGCTACCATCACAAAGATTTTTTGCACATTCCATTTTTATTCCCACAGATGCTGTGAAGCAGAAGGAAATAGCAGCCAGACGCACGGTGTGAGGCAGAGGCCAGCCCTGCACAAAGGGCAAATCGTAGTAAGACCTCAAGGTTTTTGGTTCCATCCTCCCAAGACAGAAACCAGATCGCTGCAGTACAAACACACAAAGCAAGGCTCAGAATATTCACACAGAATCAGAAACTCTGCTGATACAAAAACAGATCTGGGTCTTAAACATTCCTCACTTTAGCGTTAAACCCCTGTTTCTCAACCTGTGGGCTGCAAACCAAATTTGGGTCATGGCAAGTTCTGAAAAGGTCGCAATCAGAGTTGGAAAATTGTTAACTCGTTTTTATCCTCCTTAAAAATGCTAGAACAGAAACAATAACATAATAATTTCAGAGAGCTGTTCAGTTTTACTATTTCATTTAGTTTTACTCCATTACTGTACAGGGCTGTGACTGAGCTGGCGTGTTATAATTGGGTCGTGGTATTAAACAGGCTGAGAATCACTTTCTAAAGTGTGTAGAGCATCTTAAAACATAGTAGTCCGAACATTTCACGTGACTCATTGACTATTTGATATCAGATCCCATTTTTGTATTTATTTAGTTGTGCCGCAGGTTTAGTTGAAACATGTAAATGATTCAAAAACTGGGTTTTGATTTCAAGACATACGGTAATCATTTGGACAATAAAAATATATAGTTATAGTGTTTATGTATGTGTTCCACCTCAAGGGTTTAGTTTTCTGAATCTGTGTGAGAGTTTGAGTGTTCTCCCTGTGATCAGTGAGCATGTCAGGTTTTCCTCCACCATTATATATGATATGACCATATTCAGGCCACGCCCATCTGTCATGGCTCAGTGTTTCATAGGATGAATCCTGGGAAGCTGGAGTGCTGTTTGGGGAAGTCCTCTGAAGGCCCGGGATATGCACCAAGAGAAACAGGAGCCTCATTCAGTGCCGAGCCCTCAGAGTCCCCAAGGGCAACTTTTTTTAGAGAAACTTTTTAGGAAAAATACCGCTTTGCTTATCTTACCCCTGAATGCAAAACAGTCTTAGAGGAGAAAAACTCCTCAGGCGAACATTACGAAGAGTGTTCAATTTCCACTGTCTTCCTGTCCTCCCCATACACTTTGCAATCCAGTTTATTTGTTTTCACGTTCGTCTGGAGACCACTGGCCAGCTTTATCATGTTTATTTATGTTTTGGTAATCAAATCTCATGTCCCCCATACCACAGGCAACCTGAACTTCATTACATTTCATGGTCAACATTGCATGCTTGAAGACAAGAGAAAGTTTAATGTTGTTTTACGTTGTTTTATGTGACAAACTCTAAATTTATTTTTTTTGTTTAATCTTGGACTAATTTGAACTAATGTAACCTAATCCAAAGTTTTTTAGTGACAGATATCTGGCAAATTCACTCACTAGAGCTTACATGCTTACTGGAATGAAAGGGAATGGACGGGCAGGCGGACGGATAGACAGAGAGACAGACAGACAGACAGACAGATAGATAGATAGATAGATAGATAGATAGATAGATAGATAGATAGATAAGAAATTCAGGTAATATTAAAAATATGATGAAGCATTAAGAAAACGAGCATTAACATTAATAATCTTCAGTATAAGACTTCATGAACGCTAGTTGGGAATGTGTATGAGAACCCAAAGCCATTCCTCAGATGGCGACTCATCCCACATTACAACATGGCNCCCCCCCCCCCCCCCCCCTGCTCCCCCCCGCCCACTACCCAGGACTACATCTTCTTTTTTTAAAACCTGTGATATCAACCTTTTCTGCATCCCCTTTCCAAAAACAGAATGCTGCTCCTTTCTCCAGCATCACATACTGAACAGAAGATGCATAAAGATGGCCTGCAGGGGGGGGGGGGCATGCCCATTTCCACAGCCCTTCTGCTCCCAATGGCTGACCTGCCATTATTCTGCTTCTGAGTCACTCACCAGGTGCTTCATTTTATAAATGAGGTACTTTTTAAAAATCCTAATCTAAATGGTAAGGTGTCCATTTGGTGGCTGCTGCCCAGTTCATCCTCTTCGCTCCCAGCTTCATACCATATGAACCAATAGCAGAATTCCAGTAGCCAAAACCCCAAAAAAATCTGCCAGAATTTTAGTTCTGAAGACATATTAGTTCTGTTTTTCGTAATTATAGCAATGATTATAACAATGACACATATTGCTTGGTGTAATACCATGTTATATTTCTTTTTTAACAAAGTGGGAACACTATATGACTACACTGGTTAGCTGTAGGGTTTGCTCCAGTCTGGGTGAGGAATAAATCGATCACACAGAGGAAATGAAACAGTTAACTAGGAGTAAGGGGTTTACCAGAGATGGGGGAGGGGGTACAAACAAAGAAGAGCCCATCTGGCTTTAGCGAGGGGGGGCACAGTGAGCAGGCAATGTATGAGCTTCAGGTCTCCAGATGGGTCAGAAGGTCAAGCTCAGTTGGAGTGGGGCTGGGGGGGGGCCTGAGAGATTCATCATTCTACAACGTTTCATTAATCAGGACATCCCATAAACAGGCTGCCAATGCATTACAGCTGCAGAAGACTCTCATATCGCTCATTGTACTTAAAATGGTCTGGGTTAGACTGCCACATGCAGAAGATATCAGCACAAAACTGACAAATGAAATGCAAATGACTACAGGTAGACTCTGGTATAGATGCTAGTGACACTAGTTTCCGTGGCAACATGACGTTCTGTCCCTGAGTAGCGAGAGTGCACGTGGAAGGGTGTGAGATGCGTCTTTCGGGAGGGTTCACATTCTGAGTGCTGAAGATGCCTCTATGCCACTTCCAGGTTCACTAGAAGATGTTGCATGTTAACATCAGCTCAGTAACACAGGAGCATCAGAAGCATTTTGAATGTGGGGGGGACACACTGGCGGGGGGTCTGGGGACCCTCCCCCAGAAATTTTTTAATGAATTAGATGCCTTTTCGTGCAAAACCCAGAGTGGTCTTTCAGTGGTATGTGTATTCTCATATCGGTCAAGTGGAATGGATTCTTTCGCAAAGCAATAGAAACAGCACTGGGTGAACTAATATTTTATGTTAATTGTGGGGGGGTCCAAACGAATAATTATGAAATGTGAGGGGAACACTTCCCCCTCAGATTTAATGGCGGCAACACCCAAGCAGTAACATGTCATGAAAAATGCTATTATATCAGATTTGAACGACCATTGGAACAGTTTAACAGCCTTATCATAACTCCAGTTATGAGACAAAGATATTACCAAGGATTTAGCGGCCTCTACACTGCCCCCTCCTGGATGAGCCAACCATGTTCTCAAGTCTAATAATATGCTGTAAACAGGGCCACGTATTTCCTTCCCACACAGCGCACCACCAACAGGTGACATAGGCGATCGCCTAGGGTGCCATTTGATAAGGGGCTGCAAAAGACTGAGTGAAAAATCAAGAGAAATACTTCTGGTTGCATTTTCATGATGTTACCGTTTTTTACAGTAGTTTTAATTTTTCGTTTACACTTTTCTCGTGAAACAGACGCGTGTTAGCTAGTTAGCAGTCAGTGCTACTGAAAAGATTTTAATGTAAATGATTTGACAAAATGTGTTAATTGCTGGTCTTTGGGGGGTGGGATACTCAGCAGAATGTGGCCTAGGGCACCAGAACACCCGATGGGGGGTTACGCAGCACTTCTATGGATCCAATGCTTGTATTTGTCAAGGTCTGTAGATATAATTAATATATTAAACTATATTCAACTTTAAGATTAAAACACATAGAAATTCATTCGTTATTAATAATGTCGTGGAATGGTATGAAATAACCCGTGCAATAGCCTCCACATCCAGAAGAGGGCAGTAATTCTGTTCTTGGGGATCGGCATCCTATACAACAGGAAACCTATGACGGAACTAATAATAATATGCTTAACGTCAAAGGCAGCTTGGGTTTTTGTGGGTTATTTGATTTAAATAATTGAATTCGACTTTCGAATCTTGCTAAAATACAGATATCGCAATTGAAATGATATATGGGGTTAAATATGGTTGGTTATCTAATTTATTTTTTAACGATTCGTTCTCTGATTCTTTATGAATGACCGGGCCCCGTGTTTGGGGCTGACGCTCGGGAACTCCGGGCTTCACGAACGCCGCAGCGGAGCCCAGAGGCGAAAGCACCCCTAGAAAAACGATAACATGCGATAGACAATGAAAGCGGCTCAGAGAACCTCTTTAGTCGTAGCTGGAGGAAATTAACGCATTAAAACTTTCAAAGTTTTAACAGCAGACAGGGCCACCTTCCGGCTGTGGCGGCTTCCTCGGGGAGCCTCATTCCTGCCGCTGGTTTAGGCCATATTCTAACGGCCCTGCCGACACGGTAATGCTGCGCTTAAATTATACTTTTAAAAAATTAGGCAGTTAGGTGGCGATGGAGTAATTAAATCCGCAGTGAGGGGGAGGCAGAGTCGATAATCTCATCCAGCGTGGGGCTGAACATTTTAGCTCCTTAAACTGTGGGGATGTTTTCAATAAAACGAAGTGAAATTAAGATTAGCATTCACTCTGTGGTTTTACGGGACCCCGGTGGTATTACGGCCCTGGCTGAATCTTATCATTTACTATATATACTTATTATTTACCTACTATTCTGTTGCAGTTAATGCATTATCAAATGGGTTGCATTAAGATACATACGTATTACGTCACGATTTGTGCGTAGCGGCCATTCTACCGGGGAATGTTGGCGACGTCCGTCGCACAGATGCATTAAGTCCTGTATTTCTTTTCAATATTAAAGAAAGTTTCATATAAACTAAATGTATAGCGAGTGCTCAGGACTATGAAAAGCTGTATTTTGTTCAGGCAAATGGGACAGGCATTTCTAAGTATCATTCTATCACACAGTTAACCATAAAGTGTAAATGCAGGCGCAATGAGGCGCAGTAACGCTTTATTAAATGATCATAATGCGTGAATTGCCAGCTTTGTCTTACAGTGGGGTGCCGAACATAAACTCAAAGAAACCGTTATTTAGATATACACTCAAAAAAATACAACGGGGACCATGCAGCGACTGCGACGCAGATGATATATGCAACGTCCAGTTCACCATGCAGTCGGTTCTCCCTTTTACACAAACTCAGTGGCGTTAAAAACTCCCACGTTTAGATGATAGAAATTAACTTTGTCCTTAGAAACGAAACTAGCCTGATTTATCGCCAATGAAGGCTTCCATATATGACACCACAAGATGCCACTGCATGCCTGAGCATGTACGTTGAAATTAACTTAATTTAGAATGCCACTAGCCTTAGGAGGCTAGCGAGTTCATTTACAAGTTCTAGAGCACAGCACTGCTGTTTGCTAATCGTCCTATACTGACATTCAGTCAGCAATATATGCCTATTTTACTGCATATACTAATAGGCAATTTGCGCCGGTCACCAAAGCAGCTTCTTTCCTTGGAATAATGCCAAGGATGGCGATATAGGCTGTATTTAAAAGTCTGTGCCACTTCTTGACAGTATCGTCGTTCAAGTTCTTTTGATCGATGGCTCTTAACCAAGTTTTCCGGCAGGTCTTCGGTCTCTTTGCCTTGATTTATACGATCCGAAGGTAAACAAAAGAAACTTAGATTCGGGGTTTTCTTGCTGCTGCACCCCGGGCCGCCGCCTCGTTTTCATTTATGCGTACCTTGGACAATGACGTCATCTTAATACGATCCCTAAATAAAGGGGGCCTAGCCTTGTGCCGTAATCCCCACGTTTCATGTAAATCTCCTAGTTGTTTCGACACGTTGCAGCGAGGTACGTTTATCCGACCCCGCTGTGACCATCCTGATGGACACCCCTTATTTGTTAAAGGCAGACTATAGTGGTGGTCATTGCTCTTCATTGCTGGAGCACGATTCTCATGAACAGTGCCGCTGGCAGGAGCCAAATGCAAAGACCACATCTAATGAGCTGATGCAAACAACAGATGTAGTGCATTTTCATTCAGATAGATACGTCTGGTCAGTTAAAAGGTTATGGGAACATATCACATATCAGAGTTAGACAGTTTTTTCCCCCTTATGACACTGTGCTGATGTCAGCTGTAATGACAGCAGAACTGGGGGGGATTGCGGTTCAGCCCTACACTGTCATGATGACAAAGCAAGTCCCCAGCTCCCCTGCAGCATTAATGAGACAGACCCCCAGAAAGGTCTGGCAGTGGTGACACCCTAAGGCGTCGCACTGAGACCCCCAGGGAGGCTGCCTGGGGTGGGTGGAGGGGCAGGGGACCCAGATCTCTGTGCTGTAGTGTGGAATGACAGAGGTGGTGCCAGGGAATGCTGAAGGGGCAACATGCACACTGATGCACCATGATCATGCAGCAGAAGGGGTCTTGTCTGGTGTTCTTTGAAAGTTTTAATGAACTACCAGTTGTACCCCATAGCTGTAGTTAAATGTACCTCTTAGTCTAATTTACGGTACAGACATGGACTTGGAGGAACATCCCAAGGTACCAACAACACTAATATACCGCCAATGGTACAAAAATGTTCCCCAGAGTCCATTTCTGTATATTTACCTAAAGGTAAGGGTACAGCCCCAGAGACAAGTCAAAATTATAAATTGGTTCTCTTTTTTCTGACAGTGTGTCCCTAAGCACTTGCTGTCTCCTCCCATACAAACACTTGCCTTTTTATGGCGTTTCCAGCTCAGTTTGGTGACTTTACTTGACCCTCCCGCTAATCTCCAGTTCACGGCTCTTCTTGTAACCTCATTGTCACCATATGATCCAGGAAGCCTTTTCCCTTCTGTGTCTGGTATTTGTATCTTTTATATTGCCACCTAAGTCAGTTCCATTGGTTTTCCACATTAGAATAAGTAGTGTGTATATTCTGTGTATGTAAATTAGTCTTAAATCATTTTGGAATTAATTAACCTTTTTTGAAATGGACCACCTTTTATTTGTTATCCTACCATTGTCCTTGCAAATGAAAGTATTTGAGAACCTAGCTTATTTTTAGCGTAATCATGTCAAACTATCCTTTGATAAACAGTACACTTATAATACTTTAACAAGTACCAACGGCTGTTATCTGCTAGAAACATTTTATGTAACCACCAGGGACACCTAAACAAAGCCTCGGCAGAGTTAAATAACATTACTCTTGTTTTTCCATACAAGCATAAACACTTCAAAACATTATCAGCAGCGAAAAGGGCGTTTAAATGTTTTGTATTGTGCTCTTGAAGATACGAAGCTGTATCATGCGATACGTGTTTCTGAAACATTTCATTCGAAAGCATAAACGCGGCATAAACACTTTGGTCAGTTTCTAAGGGCGATAAGTTGGTAATGAGGATCCATTTCAGATCCTGCCCTCCTATTATGTCAATATTAGTATTTTCTGGGGCTAAACCCGCAACAGCCTGCATTTTTTGACTTCCAGTATAATGAAACAGATTTGTATTCAATCATTCTCGTAGCATACACATCTAGCAGTTGGGATATTTGTACTGTCTGTTGAATCTGCCATGCATTAAGCAGGCGTGCTATTTTCAGCATCTGGGAATGAAGAATATCAGAATCCAGCTGAGATGTTCCTCCCCTTGGCTTTGTGTATGTGTAATGGCTCACACACCGTTAATCTTGACCTGTCACTGTCCTGTCTGTGAAAACGTTTCATACCACGTAGGTTCGCAGGTGCTGTGGTGGTTGTGCATGACGCAGGATAAACTTCAGCCCTTTCTGATCAGTGTTTGGTGTTTTTGCTTCTGTGCACTTGAGGCACCAATAGTATATCCAGTCGTGTAAATGGGCAAAAAATCCACCACCATTTAAATAAAACAATGTAAATTTAAACGAATAACATGCTGTGTATCAGGCACGTTTTCCACTTTATATACTTGGAAAAATAGTACACTAAGTGCTAATGTGATTACAGCTTCACGGCAAACGATCGATTTCCATGAATGTAACTATATGTAAATATGTAACCGCTACACAATGTTCAAAACACATGCATGCAAAATTGCTCGTTTTTATTTGTTAAGGGAAACTGTTTTAGTATATCAGCAGTAAAATCTGTTTCTTTTACGCAAAATTACTTTGCAGTAGCTTAATTAGTAGTAGTGTTAAACTGTCGGTCGAAGGTCTGTGCTGTGTATGTATGGGGATTTTGCGTGATGTGATTTCTCTCGGGACGTAGGTGATCCTTACTGATGCATGTCCCACGCCTCTGCGCGCTGGTTGCAACCCATCGCAACAAACAGCTGCTCAGGAGGGACCCCGAGGAGCTCCACTGGCAGCGTCTCTGCGCATTCAGCGCTGCTGCAGCACCGAGTCCGGCTGCGCGAACTTTATCCGCCGCCTCACTCCACTTTTAGTTGGGGATATTTATATGATGTGCACTGTTGATTTTTAAGGTGTCAAACGTGACGTAAGTAAAATTCTTACTTTTAAAAGCGGATCATATATGGTTTCTGTTTAAACTTGGATTTATATATTGTATTAAGTATTTTAGTGAAGTTTTTTTTATTACTATTATTGAACACAGCGAAACCAGGACCAAGGGTGCTCAGAATGACGAACGTATGTTTAACTTTTGTTTCTATTTGAAATGCTTCCTGGAAATTATATGTTTTTTAAAGAAGAAACGACGTGGGAAAATGGAACGTTATTTTTCATTGAAATTTTTCTGAAAGCACCGCGTGAGAAAGAAATGCAGAACATCACCGCAGCCGAAGGCAATCAGACATTCATGACCTGGACCGAGAACAGCACCGAATTCAAAGTGGTAAGCGTCCTCTTGGTAGCCCTGATCTGTGCTGTTGGCATCATAGGCAACATCATGGTGATCTTGGTGGTCCTCACTACCAAACACATGCGGACTCCCACTAACTGCTACCTGGTGAGCCTGGCCGTGGCTGACCTTATGGTGCTGACGACCGCCGGACTGCCCAATATCACTGAAAACCTGTACGGGGGGCACTGGATGTATGGCTACCTTGGCTGTCTCTGCATTACCTATTTCCAGTACCTGGGAATCAACGCTTCCTCCTGTTCCATCACCGCCTTCACGATCGAGAGGTACATTGCCATCTGTCACCCGATGAAAGCCCAGTTTCTGTGCACTCTCTCACGGGCCAAAAGGATCACTGTGGTCGTCTGGGCTCTTACTTCTCTTTACTGCGTCATGTGGTTTTATCTGGCCGACACTAAAGAATACTTTAATGGAAGTGTCACCATAGTTAAATGCGAGTACAAAATCCCGCGGAACCTGTACTTGCCCATATATTTTGCCGATTATGCGGTCTTTTACGTCTTTCCTTTGATTTTGGCCACTATTTTGTACGGGCTGATTGCAAGGATACTTTTCCTAAACCCACTCCCTTCGGATCCCAAGGAAAATGTCAAAAAGTGGAATAGAGAGTCATCCAAGAGAAACAAGATCACTTTGAAAAACTCAAACTGTTCCGGTAGCAATACGGCGGCCTCCCGTAGGCAGGTAAAGTGATGTTTTTAATAAACAATATTTGTTTAATGTGTTGGCTTGATGAATTAAACAGAATCATGTTCCATATAGGTAGCTTTTGCAATGCAGGTATATATGACAAAACTCTCATGCGAACGCCGAGGAAAATATGGTTATCGAAATAGGTCTATTCCCAGAAAAAATAACTGGAACATCTGCAATTGTAGGCTGGGTATATGGATTGTTTGTTGACCAAAGTCGCATTAAATATATCTGACCAGCAAAAAAGCCACTTTATAGCCTACATTCCAAAATGTAAGCTTTAATAATTATTCATAATTTTTATAATATGTGTATCAATTAATAGCGACTTCCATTGATTGAACTGTGAGTGCTGTAGGGTACCTGAGCAAATACCTCTTACAAGATCATTCCTTTGAATGAGTATCTGCGAGGAGCTGAAGGAATGTATAAAACTCAGCGTGATTCAGCGTGTAGCACAACGCGGGAAGTGTCTTCATCATGATAACCAACGCTCCCCAAAGCATTAACGCCACCTTTAAACGATGTGATTTACACAGGCCTAATTGAACCGGAGTCTCAAAACATAAATATTCACCGTCTCGTCGCCCATTTAATTTCGCCCATTTATAATATTGTGTTTTCTTATAATTATTGTTCGCCCTGTAATAGGAAACGCTTCGATGCGCCGCAGCTTTAATTCCCAGCTTGTCAGTTAAATTGTGTTTGTTGTTGGTGTTTAATGACAATAATTAAAAATCGATTCGTTTTATGGCAGCTACACTTCTTGGCAGGAAAAAATTCTCTCCGATAACAGTGCTCCCGTTGGAGGTAAACGCTAAAATTGATTGCATTTGTTTGCTTAGCGGATGTGATTATCAAATGCACTTTTAAATCGTCATGATCGTTCAAACTGGCGCACAACGGTCATATTTCTGGATTCATACAAATTATGAGAGCCAAAAGAATTTTTGCACAGAACTGGCTTGTACCACAGCTCATAATTTTGTTTCATTTATTTTATTTTCTGGTAGCAACACATTAAGTGGCAGAAATTCACAATAAATGATGCATATCGGTCAAATAAACCTTGCTTTGATATATAAATATCATATTAAGTGTAGAATTAGCTTGAAGGTCATTGTGTGTTCCAGGTGACGAAGATGCTGGCGGTGGTGGTGGGCGTCTTCGCCCTGCTCTGGATGCCCTACCGCACACTGGTGGTGGTAAATTCCCTGCTGAAACATGCCTACCTGGATACCTGGTTCCTACTCTTTTGTCGAAGCTGCATCTACCTGAACAGCGCCATCAACCCGGTGATCTACAACGCCATGTCGCAGAAGTTCCGATCGGCCTTCCGCCGGCTGTGCGGCTGCGCGGGAGACGCCGTGGCCGCCGGCCATCGCTCGGAGAGGCCCACCGCCTGCAGCATGGCTCTCACCTACAGTGTCGTCAAGGAGATCTCCAACGACGACAGCCCCCATCGCCTTACCACTGCCATGGAAGACATGGCAGCCAACAGCAGCTTCCTTCCCAGCAGGGATCCGGGCTGTGGTTTCTGAGCTGCCGAGGTCGTGTCTGACAAGGCCTGACCAGCATGCTCACGTGTGCGCTGATGCACCGTTGACTGTCTGTTGACCATTGTCACTGTTACAATGTGACCGCATGATGCACTTTGATTGGCTATGTATTTCTTTTAGACATACCTTAAAAGGGATTCTCCCACCTCTACATGTTAGAAACAGAGTACCGATTTGTACCTTTGCTTGCCACTGGGGCTGTACCCTCGAGGTTTTGCCAATTGTACCCTTAGCTGTGAGTAAATGTACCCTTTAGTCTAATTCATAGTACAGAAATTTGTATCCCCAAGGTACAAACAACATTAACGTACCATCAATGATACAAAAATGTTCCATTTCTGTGTATTAAATGGTACATTTACCATTGGGGGTGCAGCCCCAGTAACAAACAAAGGTACAAATTGATACTCTTTTCTCTGACAGTGTAGGGTTGTGGGTTTGAACCCCACCTCCACTCCTTGCACGTTGCACGTTTTCACGTTTTCCTTGCGTTGGATGGGTTTTCTTCAGTAGCTTCAGTTTCCTCCCACAGTCCAAAGACATGCAGTCAGGCTAACTGGTGTCTCTAATCTTCCCCTTAGCTTGTAATCCTGAGTGTGTGTGTGTGTGTGTGGCTGCAATGGGCTAACACTCCGTCTGGACTGTACTCCTGCTCTTTGTACTGGGCTGTCTGGGACATAAAAAGTATATTTTTTCCATTAATCTTTGGTTTCAATTTGAAAATGTTGTAGTACTTGTTAATGGTACTGCTGCCTTGAAATTTTATTTAATTGGGTATGATGCTAGTTGTAATTGTATTCTGGATTATTATTCTGAGGACCAACATGGACACTGTGGTGACACCTACTGGTTGGGACAGGGTGGTACAGTGTAGACTATTCTCCTTTGGCATGTACACCCTGCCTCCAACAGGGGGCTCCTTGCTGCTGCGTGCGCCCTGTTCTTTACTGCCAGTATGTGGTGGCTACTGAGTGGGGAGTGTCATTGTGGAACTTGGTGCCGCTTCAGACAGAAACATCACAAAAGCAGTAAGAATAAGCTTGATATCCACTGTGTGAGAACAACCACCTATAAAGAGTCAGTTACCACAACTCACTTTGGCTGCAGGTGGAAGGTGGCGATCGTGAAGGTAACCCTACCAGCTGGAATGAGGCCGTCCCACATGCCTTGACGGTAACCTGAAGCTGGTATTAGCAGGCAGCAAAGGAAGAGTCAGCCATGTGTTCTTCTCCTACATTTTTATCATGGGTGGAATCTGGGAGGAATTTGCCTTCTGTTCTATGCTGGCTGTTTGCACCTTTGCATAAGTGGTTTGTTGGTATCCATAGACAAAATAATGGCTCCTATGTGCATTAACACAAAGGGTAAGCAAGATACATTTTTTTTGCAAATGGGTCTGTACAGTGCAAAGATCAAACTCCACTTATGGTTTTTATGCATTTCATACTCCAGAAGTTTGTAGACAGATTTCTACACTTATTAATCTACTCCTGTATTGCTTTTATCAAAGTGGGACAGCTGCTGTAGCTACCAAGACCAAGTCAGAAGTTTCATTACTGGGACTTGAACTCACAACATTCTGGTTCCACTCTTACTCAGCAGTCACTCACTGTGCTAACATGTGGAAGGTTCACTTCCTCACAGGCTCACGCTAAGATGTCAGTGGGTCAGTGTGAGAGGAAATGCAATTACCCTCACGCAGTGTCTGTGCTCAGACTGAAACAAGGGCCACATTGTTTTAACAAGGTGAACCGTAGGTAGAGCAGCCGTCAAACTGGTCACTTAGAGATCACAGTGCTCAGAATGGAGCATTACATTGTGATCAGAAGTGTCCACATTTTCAGAGAGACTTACTGATCATCATGAATCTGACAGATTGGCAGCATCATGCTGTAATTCAATAACTTTGTTTTTGTATGTGTGTCATTTATCAACACACTAGGACAGCAGGCCAATTAAGAAACATTGATAAATTCACCAGTTCAATAATTCAGTAATTACAGCGCATCACATAAATGGGAACATATAGTGACAGCACTCCCTCCAACCAGAGTGACAGGGGCCCTAAAAAATTTGGAACAAAATTGGACCGGTTTGGGTCGGGAGCCCAGTATGTTATGCTTTCTTGGGGCCCAAAATCTCTAGCAGCGCTATCTGGGGTATTTGGGTGTCCTTTCATACTTATTTTGTAAACTGATGCTCTGTGATTCTTCTTGCCATAGTGATTTACAAACCCAGGTTCAATGTGTCCTCTATACACATGAAAACAAACAATAGTATTTTCACGCAAAACTGCATCACCTGACAACGGCATCCATGTTTAGGAAAGCAGACCTGACTACGGCCATACTCACTTTCGGACGGTATTTTAAGCTTTAAATAAAAAAAAAAGATCCTTCATATGATTACACAATAAACTATTCTACTACTATAATTTAAAAACAAAGCTCGTTCAGCAAATAATCGTTTTGATTAATTAATAGTTGATCTGTTTAATAGTTGATTTCATACATATCCTCAAAAATTTGGTAGTATTATACAACATTAGTTTTATATTGTTTTGTTTAGTCAATATCAACATTGATCATGACATTTTTCTTGGTATACTTGCACTGTAAACTGTATTTAAAATTTGTGATGTTAGATGTGTTTAGTGGCAAGCGGCAGTTCCGTCTAACTGTTGTCCAGTGGCTCTTTCAACACCTCAGTGTTTGCTTTTCGTTTTGCTCAAACTGCTGAAGGTGTTGGTCAGTTGTGGACTTTATGGTGAAAATCCTGACACTTAAGAAGACAAAAAAAAAAACATTGTGGCATAAATGCTGAGTTGTGAAAATAAATTATTACTGTCTGTTAAGGGCTGATTGTCATAGGTTATGGTGTCATATTGAGATTATTCAGCTGTAAGTGATGTTCTTGCGCCAGTTTTTTGTGCATTATAAATGGATATCATTTATTTGCTTTTGGAAGTATTACATAAATACTCTTCAATAAACTAGCTAGTTTGTAAGGAGCTTCCTGTTGTTTACATTGTGCTGCCAGAAGAAGGATTTTATAGCAAATGAAGACTAACCTGATTGCATCTGAGCATGCATTAGTGTTAATTTAATTCTTCCTGAGGATAAAAAGGATTAAAAAAATACAATTTTTGGGACTTTGCGGATTAGTTAAGATATTATTTTCTGTAGAATTATCATTGTGTATATACATTAGGTGTAGGCTAATTGTGCTTAAAGCAGTTCATTATGGGACAGTGCACAACATTAAGTGGCCATTTTTTGCATAATGGAAATAATAAAAGTTTATCTTCAGGGGCAGGGCTGGTGACCATTGCTTTAAAGCCTGGCTGATTTTTTTGTTCGCACAAGATACAAAAATATAATTTTTCAGGACCTCACAGGTACCATAGTTGACAAAGTTTTCGATCAGTTTCTGAAGCATTCGACTTTGATCACGATTTTTTTTAAGAATGCAGAACAGCTTTAAATCACATTCTTATTGGATATGAAATCCTTGTGTAGGGCTTATTATCCCGCTTCAGAAATGAATAGGACTAATGTAAACCATTAAGCAAAGACTCACACCCCAAGATTTTAAAGTGTTATAATGATTAAATTACAGAAATAATGTGCATTGCGACACTATGCAGCTATCTGATCTAATTAATTCAGTTCCATATGTTGATTATAATTCCATCGGCGTGTGACACAAACAGACACTAAGAAAAAGTGAAACACCTTAAGGGCTGGAGAGGATGGTTGCTGGAAGAGAGCAGCATGACTGACCTGTGTTCAGATCTGAGCCTTGATACAAGTATGACGTCCAGCCATCCAGGGCTGAGGACAAAAAAGATCTGGGCAGCGTCACTTACAAAATGATATTGGCCCTATTTAACCCCGGTAATATCTTTTCTGGGACTCAGGGCTTAATGCATGGGTGATTATGCATGGATGACATTTCGATTTGAATATAAAGTACTTCACTAACTTCAGTCTTCAGTAAACGAAGTACAGGAATAAAACCTGGCGTCTTGCTATTGGATATGTGCAACAGTGTACAGGACTGCGACATAGCTGTGTACACGAAACCTGTAAGCAATGCAAGTACAATTAGCATGGATTTACATTTTGAAAATGTTCTATTTTAAGACTCATGTATATTCAATGTTGATAAGACCAACAGTACCATGCCCTGGAATACCCATGAACAGTTTTCCTTTTTAATTTTGTGTGCACAATATCCTTGTGTACACAGTATACTTTAAATGTGCCATTTAACACATTTCTTTCAGTATTTTAAATTGCATTCTGTTGTCAGCATGTGAACTTGGTTTGGTTGAAAAATGTCCAGAAATGGTTATACAAGCCCATTTACAGCCATATTATATGGCCCTAGAATGAAAGGCTGTTTCACTTTCCTTTTTTTGGTGGGCTCACATGTTGATGAGCTCCGCTCTGATTGGCTGGTTTACAATGAGGCACTGCAATGGCTCACACAGAACCAACATCTCTATTTCGAGCTCTCAGATTAATTAAGTTGTGCCCATGTTTTGTTTATTTGCACCCCAAAAACCAGGAGCTGGAATCTTGGGACAGTATTCCCTGAGGGTCTTTGAAACAGATGGAAAGGATTGACATAAAGAAGCTCTTAATGCTTTAAATATTCTTTGAAATGTTGTCAAAACCATCATTTTGACGTGGCGTGTCCAGGACTTCAGTAGATCAGGTTGCTTTACAAACTGGAAGAGAGAACAAGGAAGGAATAGAGTACAGTGGCCACTTTGAGAGAACTTCACTTTAGTGCAAAACTCTTTAGAAAGAGTTTAGAAAGAGGAGGCATTTTCCATGAGAAGGAGAGTGCTGTTCCAGGCCTGAAATGTACAATAAACGGAAGGTTCTGGTTACCAGCTTGTCTGAGATACTCCCAAGATGTTTCAAAAATCGCCCAACATGGTTGCCATTGCGATAAAAGAGTTCACAAAAGCCCAGAGCATTTATACTCTTCAAAGAAACACTCAGAAAACAAATATACTTTTTCTGAATATAGGCTGAAAAGTGTGTAGGTTGATGTCCTCTAAAATGAAAAATCTGCCCTGTCTGCTATCCACAATCAAATTTCTCAACATTAAACTAAGTGCAGGTTTGGTTATTAAGTACTTTATAACTTTATATATTTATATACACATACACCCCCGCACCTCTCAGTTCTCCATCTGCCACACCAATCTGTGTGTAGTTCAGGGACAGTCGGCTGACTAGGTGGACAGCCTTGGAAAGCTGTCAGGAAGGGACAAGCACTGGAATGACAACCTGGATCCAAACCTGGCACTCCTGCTGGAGTCTGGGGTCCCGCTGCACCCCCAGGTACATTATACTGCTCCCTCTAAAAGCCAGAGAGCTTGGCAGGGCCATAACTAAAAAGGTTCCTGGCATCGCGACTGGCTCAGGACCTTGGTCTTAAAGGACACCCCCGTTCTGTGGAATGACTCCCTCCTTGTCAGCTGGCTTGTCTGTGCCCGTTGGATGCTCTTGTGATTACCATTAGCAGATGTTATTTTTTTTCTACACAAAAAACAAACAGATTTTTACGAAGAGCAAACCCAGAACACCCAGTCACTACCAACAGAAGGACCTTATGTCTTCCCTGCAAGCTGTTCTCAATTATGCCACAAGGGAAACTATATAATCTGTATCATGTCAAGCTCATTAACAAATGTCTTTATATTTTAAAATCCAAATCAATGCTGTATGTTTGGCCTGCGCTTTAACCTGACACCCAAATAGTTCTTCACCACAAAAAGAAACCTCATATAATTGAACACACAGGTTCATAGCTGAAACACTGATGTATAAGGTTTGTGGCTTTGTGGGCAGATTGGTAGCCCTGACAGTATTCTTTAGTCTGTATTTTACTTGATGGCCCAAATGGGCTCCATCAGATGTGAAGTCTCACAGATTTGGTTAGATTCTGCTTAGCATGCACATTGGGTGAGAGTCTGAATGGATGATATGCAAACACAACATAGAAATTCCAACAATTTACCTTGCCGGCCTAAAACCAGCGAAAAAATGCTGCGGAAAGGAAGAACAATGAAGGTGAAGCAAGAGAAAAGGTGGGCCCAACAGTCATCCTGACTACAGTCAGTACATCAAACCTGCAACGAAAGATGGTCCTACTTCTGAAGAAACTGCAACATACCATTTAAGGCCAAAAATAGGATATTTATCACCTCTGAACATGTGGCTGCTATGCAAATATCACAGCATGTGTGGGTCCTCAAATACTGTCCTCTGTCAATGGAAATCCAGCTTGAAGCATTTGGGCTATGCAGCCAGGAAGCATTTGGGCTATGCAGCCAGGAAGCATTTGGGCTATGCAGCCAGGAAGCATTTGGGCTATGCAGCCGACGGGCTACAGTACAGACAATGTGGAAGATGACATGTAGATAAAGGTCTTTGTGTGCCAACAGGTCACACTCCACAAATGAAAAACGCTAGAGCAGAACTAACCCCCCACCCCACAGCAACCCCCGCTGGCCATAAACTCAAATAAAAAGGCCAGAGTGTGACAGCTGTGCTACGTCCTGCCTGCACCCCCCATTCCCTCAAAGTAACAGCTAAGTGCTAATGGAGAGTGACAGTCAAGCAAAGGGAAAACTCATTTTAAAAGCCCCCCCCCCACATAGTGTCTCCATGGGGACAAGTGGAGCTGCCTGACCTTCTGCAGCCAGGGTGCTTCTTCTTAACCTTTTTAATTTCAACTTTAATTTCAAGATGATGCATCGATTTCCTAAGGCTTTAAGGGTCATATTGAAGACACGAAGCAGGATCTCTCAGTTTGCTGGGTTAACTTAAGCTAGAAGCAGTGTTAGGGAGGTTACTCACAAAAGCAATCCATTACAGACAGAGGTGGAAAGTTCAGGTCCAGAAAGTACAGATCCAGACCAAGGTTTTGTTTCAACCAACCAGTACAGTACTCTGTGACTGTGACTCTTTATGCTCAACTGGTTGGTTGAAACAAAACCTTGGTCTGGATTTGTACTTTCTGGACCTGAACTTTCCACCTCTGTCCTCAATGGATTACTTTTACGAGTATCTTCCCCAACACTGGCTAGAAGTCATATTTGTCCAATAGGAATGCTGCTTATCTAAACTCTTGTTGGACAATCATGATTTTTATCTTAAGTTAATCCAACCAGCTGACTAATCCTGTTCATGGAACACCTCCCAGAGAAACAAATAAATTATCAATCAGTAATCTTCTTCATCTACATGTAAACAAGCAGCTTTAGCACATGGATAGTGGGAACAAAAACACAATGTACTCGACGCGAGTGAACATATCATGTGAAGGATGGGACCATGCATTGCTCTCATCCCCCCATATTAAGAAGGTTTAGGAGAGCAAATAGTCTGTAATGAGAGCGTCCCATTTAAGCATGAGGGCATGTTTCACTCAGGGAGAAAAACAAAACAAAAACAGACATTTCACTGCCGTGTTTTTTCCCCCTCAGGGTTCAAGCCACGTTTCATCCAAAGCTGGAAAAGACACTAATGCTCCTGTTTTATAATAATATGCATCTGCTGATAGTGATGAATTTTTGTGGGTCAGACACGCGCCAGATTGTGATTAATTCAGCAGCACGTTTCAGGGAACCATACTGAATCTGATGGAAAGTCGCTTTCCCTAATCAACATGAATACAGGTGCAGCTAATTAAAACATGCGGCGCAATGATACTGATATATATCACAGAATAGTAAGACAGATTCCATGGGGTGATAAACGAAGGTAATTAATCATCACCTAAGTTTGAGCAGTGACATCACATCTTTACACATTCAATCATATTTTATTAATAATAAAAACACAAAACATCTTAAAATGTGAGAGACTGCATTTCCACACTAATTATTTTATAAATGTTTTTCCTCATCTGAGGGGAGCTGAAGCCTAAGCATTTTCTTGTAAACATGTTGTGTTTTACAGTTTCATAACCGGAGAGCAATTCTGT